TGCATACTGAAATTTCTTTTGGCATGAAATGCCTCCCTATTAAACCTTAAACAATCAGCAAACAACACGCTTTAGTTTGGATTGTGTGGATTGTGTTCCACTTTGCTATGACAAGTGGGCATAAAATAATACTCGGCACAACGAGGCAAAATATTTATGAACTGCTGACGTCGGCAGTCGCCGGCAAGGGGAAAATAAACAGGGCGAAAGCCAGAGGGGCGAGAAAAGGGAGAAAACGGGGCCGAGTTAAGCTCACTTCAATGCATTTATTTTGCGAATTTCATTTATCAGCGCACTCCTCAGACGTCACAGCAGTTGGAATACACTGCCAGCCATGGCCACCCACGGGCACTGAGGAATCAAGGACCACAGAGGAGCTTATCGTGGCAAATCCTATTGTCGTCATATTGACATAACCGCAGAACCATCCGCACCCCTAGAGTAGTAATCCAGCAGTGCCACTTGTACACCGCACCTCCTGCCACCCGTCGCCATTCATCTTCTCTTGGAAATTCGGCAGCGCAACAACTTGGGCTCGTCCTTTGTCCTTTGATCCATGGCTGCTGCGGTCGCATGGTCTCAATGAATGTCGAAGTCGAAGTGGAATTCCCGGTCGAAATCCCACTTGCACTTGCTGTCATTTTTCCAAGGATTCTCTTTATCTGGGTAGCATGCTAAAATATTTAAATATTCCATACAAACTAAGAACGTTATTTGTGATTTTAAGCTTTTTAACATTGTTAAATGGAAAAGAAAAATAGATATGTGAAAAATAATCAAATTAATTTTAATTATTAACGTAAAAAGTATTCCTGTTACATTTATTTATAAATATCTAGCAAGTGTATCTCACAAACGAAAGAGTCATCTCTGTAGTTGCTTTTGGCACTTGTAGTTGCTCTTATTGTTGCCTCTGCTGCTTTATCCTTCCTGTCGAAGTTGTCCTCACTCTCCGGCATCCTTGTCCTGTTGCTGTTGTGTGTATCTTACGCTTCAGTGGCTTAAGTTCCGTACTTGGCGCGACTTATCTTCAACAGCGACTTGTTTGCAAAATGAGAAAATGAATGGTGCGGTCAGCAGCTCTTCATCTTCGCCGTCGTCCTTTGGGTCCTTTCCTTATCCGTGGCGCTTCATTGCATTCCTTAGCATTTCATCAAAACTCTCTCTTGTTTGCTCTTCGGGATTTTCCCAGTGAACAGCGGACAACAAATGATTTTTGGGGGGTAAAGCTCAGACTGGGTTTCGTCCTGGATTTGTGAAGGATTTGTCACAATGTTAATAATATGTATTTTTGGGAGTATTCGGTGATTGCTTCATGGTTGAACGCGATTGATTTATGTCAGACAGAGACCATGATTAAGTGCCATTAGTTTATTTAGATAATTTATGTATTATCTTCTTTAGTTTCTTCTTATTTTAATGCTTTGAGGACACCTTCAAAGGTGTAATTTTCTTTTGTGAAATAATTATTTTTTTATAATTTTCCGCAATCGGTTAATAGCTCAAAGAAATATCCATCTTCAGATTAAAAAAAAATGTAAAGTAACAAATTAAAGCCCAGCTTGGCCTGCATAATAATATGCAGAATCGGATATACGTTTCCCCCGCCCATACTCGCCGGATTAACGTAATTTTTTTTGAGCCCATCAAGTGCCGCACATTCGAGCCATTATATTTATTTGCGGCAGGCCGCACACACTTTTTATTCGCGGCCAAAATGTGCGCCATCATGTTGCCAGCGATTCCGGCTCACCGGCTCACCTTCTCCCCCGAAATCGGGAGTTGGGCTCTGATTCGAATTCGATTCCTGGCAGGCGGAGGGAGGCTGGAAGTCCGGGTGCCGGTCATGTCGTAATTAGCAGGGCACAGCGTTGCCGGCGATAATTAATGACGTTGGTCACGTTGGTTTCATGTCGATTTCATTTCATGACACAGCCCCGGGCATCCACTCCCATTCCCACTCCCCCAGCCAACCCCAATCCCAACTCCGTTTGCGGTGATTTGTCAAGCGTTCTCAGTGAAAAATTCAAAGGGAAAATAAAGAAAAAGTGCTTGGACCCGGCTGCATGTAAATCTACATTAAATTGAATTTATTCTTGCGCAGGAAAAGTGCGGGTGGGTGTGTTTTTTTTTTTGGCCAGTTCGATTTTTATTTATTTTTCTCTCTTTTTTTTTTAACTTTTTGCTTCTGCTCCATTTCGCAGGGCCTTCATTAAGCGCTGACCATTTTAAAATTCAATGCAATTTGAACTTTCAGTTCAGTTGAGTTGAGTTCAGCTCGATTCAATTCGATTCGTTTCGATTCGTTTCGGGTTGCGCATAATTGAATAATTTATGGGCGCTCTTGGCCAAAGTTGTCTTTGATCAAGTTTTTGCAGCAATGCGGTCTATATATAAATAATACTTTTATTTTTTCTTCAAGAAACCCAAATGGATGGGGTTATTTTAATGTGAGAGAATGTGTAATGAATAAGTCTTGATTAAAAGAATAATTAAATCATTTTATAAAATTCTTCTTAGATCAGCGGAAACTATATTTCTATTAATTAACATCTTTTTGAAAGCCGGCGTGTTTAACAATTTATACATCCGCTTTTCTTTTATTCGACAATGCAATTAATTATACGCCCAGATGGCCAGATGATTCGATTTGCCTCGCATTTGGTTATTTCATTAATTGTTGTTTGCCTCGATGGGTAGGGGACTATTTGCATATCACTTGATTTGGCAAATTTTCTGAATAGTTTGCGGACGAGAGAGTCGAGTTGATTAGAGTGCAAATGCCAACGCAGCTTGTTAACTAATTGAGTGACGGTTCTGCCCCGAATCTCTGCTGGTCATAAAATTAATTAAATTCACTCTGTTTTCACAATGCAAACGCTAAAGAGAGAAATCGACGCAGTGGATAAGGATCATGAAATGCCATTGAATAATGGAAAATGTTTGATTTTCTTCTCCTGCCAAAGCACATGTACTTTCCATTGCTAGAATTCCTGCAAATATTTGCATATCCACTTGCATTATATAATGTGGGTAAGTGAGTGTGTGTGTTTGCACATATATTTCATCAGTAAATACTTAATGCTCTTATCCTTAATGCATTCGACATCAAAATGAGTTATCAGGTTTCCGAAATTCATCAAATCGACGACTAAGCAAAATTTGCATAACGTTCTGCCTGCCAAGTCGACAAATCCTATCTGATTTTATTAATCCCTTAAACTTAGTTCTTTGTTGTAGAAATTAAATGATAGTTTTTTTGATTACCTTTTATAAGGCCAATGACCTTAAAAAAGAATAAATTTGTTATTAAACTTAAGGAAACTTAAAGTTCTAAAGATGTAGAAAATGACATCGATGCAGGAGGACATGGCTTCATCCTTGTGACTTCGTTGGCCAAGATGATTTGCATAGCTGAGCTTCATTGGAATGCAGGCGTATCTTGGCAAATAGCAAAGCTAAAATGTTGTTCGTGCAAATAAAATAAAGAGAAATTTTTTCAATAAATTCTATAAATTTATCAGCGTTCCTTTTATTTACATAAACTGATTAAATTGAATATATCCTTTTTTTTTTGGTAAGCTCTTGTGCACACTTTTCATAGATTAATGTCGCTTAAAGATTTTTTTTCGTGCGGGTAATGTTCCGCGTATGTCAATTAATTTTTAACCATTGTTTGCTTTCGTGTTTACAAATCGCACTTTTTTGCTTTGTTTGTCATTTATCACTCAGTTCACTCGTATTTCGTTGTCATCAACCACTGCTACAGCTGGTTGAAGGGGACCAAATGCTTGGAAACAGTAGATCTGACCCGATGTCAACCAGCTACATACAGCGTTGCAGATAATAAATTTTAAATATCACAAAATTGAATCAAATTGCATTTGTTCACTATGTTTGCATTTTATTAAGCACGTTTTTGTAGAGCCCCGGGGCAGCAGCGGCTCGGATATGTAATATCAATGAGGCAGCCATCGCATAAATCAATTCAAACTAATTACGCGCCATTGTAGTGAGGAATTTATTATTTTTTGTTCCCGAATGAGCAATATTAATTGAATAAAATATGCAAAAGCGTTGGCATTAAATCACACAGAATGTATCGGTCAGTCGGCAGGGATAATACTTTATGCGTCGCCCGGAAAGTATGCTAGAAAAATTGATACTCACCGAAAATGAAGAATATCTGCTAGTATGATGTTTATTTATTTAAAATTAATATTAATTTATATTTTTTTTACCATAAAATGATTATAATTTTTCCGAAGTTTTAGTGATTTAAATTTATACATTTTAAGATATTTTAAATTGTATTAGTATTAATTTAAGCTTAGAACGTGTATATAGAAATAAACTTTATCATTTAATTTCTTCCTTTTATTATAATTTCTTAATATAATTTCTTTCGCTTTAATAAATATTTCGTAATTTAAGGACTCGTCATGTCCAGGATCATATATCCACTTGCCCCTCTCTCTTTCGCCAGCTCGCTATCTATCCCTTTCTGGCACTCATTCGGGCGATTGTTGTTTTGCATGCGGCACATTAGCTTCATTTGTTCTATTGTTTTGATTATGATTTACAATGCCCAATGCGCCGCTTTTGTTGCTTTGCTGAATGAGCCTGCGGTTTGTGTAGCGTTGTGTGCGTGTCCGTGGGTGTGAGTGTGTGTGTGTGTGTGCGTGAATTTATGTTGAACAAAGCATAATACATTTGCATACAGTGTGAATGAGCGCGAGAGAGGTGTGGGGGTGTGTGGTTTTTGGGCCACACAATAAATTTCATTTAAGCACGGCACAAATCTTTTCCACTTTCCGAATGGTCTTTTGTGCTCTTGTTGCATTTTTTGGTTTTGGTTTGTTCGCTCACAAAAAGAGCTATTAACGCTCATTAGATTTTTTGAATGAGTTTTAAATTCCCCTGAGGTTGAAAAATCTCACACGTTTACTATATTTATGATGAAGATTTTTAAATTGACATGAAATTGAACATTTAAGTGTATGATATAGTGATTTTTTTAATCTCTATCGTTATGTATTTCCAAGATTTACTATGATTAAGGAGTATTTCCTTAAGCACTTGAGCACTTGCATAATTATAATAGCTAAAGTCATGTCACTTGATACATTTAATTTCACAAGTATGGGTTCCGTTAACAATAACGCAAACGTTAAAAACATAATAATTTAGCCATGCCTACACTCTCACATTCTCTGTTTCAGATATGGTTGTGGTTACTCCTCCCGATTGCCCGAAGTGCCAGCGCCAACGAGATCCTTGTCGGGAAAGAAGTGAGCCTCCAGTTGCTTGACTCCTTCGGGAGTGCTCAGATCGAAGGCAAACTTCAGATATTTATCGAAATAAGTCTTGGTGCGATCGCTCTGGTGACGCGAATGGCGATGGCTGGCATGGGGTGTTTTATCAGCTCCCTTGGGCTGGGGTTCCTTAATAGGTTTGGCTTCCTTGGGGTCCCTATATACTTTAGAGTTCTTCAAATCCTTCAACTCTGTTTGCTCCCTGACTGTCCTGCTCTCCTTGGGTGTCAGTTTCTGGACAGCCGAATTGGTCGCTGCGGATCGAGTGGTCTTTTGTGGTGGTGGAGTATACGGTTGTTCTCTGTGATACTTCTGTCCCGGTATGGCAACTAGTCCCCCTCCTCCGGCTGCTCGGGTCTGGGTCTTGGAGGGACTTACCATCTGGCATATACCTAAGCGGTGCAGATCGTTAACATTAATTTTAGTTGCTGCATCCGGAACAATAGGGCTTGAGACTTTGGCCCGACGCACGGTCTGAACATCGCGGGTGCTAGTCATCTTTGGCACCTTATCCTTGGGCGGTTCAGTGTCTGTGACCTGTAGAGTCCTGGATGGATACACCATGCGAGAGGACTTTGATTTGCGAGTCACTACTGTTGCATTGTGGGCCATTGTGTTCTGGAATGGCAGCACTCTAACCGAGGGGCCCACGATCACCAGGAGCAAATGGTAAATTTAAACGAAAACTGCAACAAACAAATAAAATGATGTTGACTATAAACTTGAATGTGTATATAAATATGGCGGGAAATTAGATTTTTTTGTTTTTCAAAATTTGATGCAAGCCACAAAGGCACTGGGGTGAAAAGTTGTTGAAAATTAAATAAACTTTAGGTTCTGAAACTCATTGGGGTATGTACGTATGTAAATATATTCTAGAAACTTGAACAATTTAAGAGAACTCTAATAAAAATATTCTACCCAAATACTCTTGGAAAAACGGTCTATAATCCTCTGGGTATAAATTTATTTTCTCTTTTTTACGCCACGACAAAAAGTCAAAGCTTAAAATGCGAGTAATTTAGCAAAGAGAGATGGAGAGATAAAATAAAAAGACTTTGGGGGAAAAGACACTCTTTTTGTTGGATTACTTTTCTTTTTTTGTTTTTGGGCAGCTGATAAAACGAAAGAAACGACAGAAAAAAAAAAACAATTAATTCCGGATAAACACATTTTATAATTAAAAAATTCCTTAGCCTTTTTTCTGGTGCCCCTCCACCGCTCTCTATTTTGCTTTTCCACACAAAACAAAGCCGGCGGGATAAAGTGAAAGAGCTAAAGAAATTAGGTGGAAGGAGAGGAAAGATGGTGACGAGAAATGAGCTTAGAGAACTGACAGCGCAGAAGGAGAGGGTATCAGCGGAAAAAGAAATGCAACACATGGCGTATACGCAATGTTCCTTTGATTTCCACACTCGCAGCCAAGACCAAAAATTTAATCATCTTTCCTGGGGTAAAAGGAAACCCACTAAGCTGATTAGGGTCCCCTTTACTAATTTCTTTTCTTCCAAAGCCATTTCCATCCTTTCTCCCCCCTTTGGTTTCTGCCTCTTTTTGCATTTCCGTGGACCAAGTAATTTATTGTTTGTTGTGCGTAATTAACCCGCTTCGTGGTCGCGTTCTTGGCTTTCACACTTTGTTTCGTTGCCTTTCTGCCTAATGATGTTATATACGCTACACTTTGAGCCTTGAGCCAGCCAGCCCTATCCCCAGGCTCCCTGAAAGAAAATTTCATTTCATTTTGGTGATTTAAGTCTTATCTGCGTGTAAAGTCGTCCACGTAATTAGTTTCATTCCAGGCTCCGTTTTCATTTTTTTTTTCTCCTGTCCAGAGATTGCGACCTGTGCAAGTTTTTCCCCTTTACTTTTTTTTGCGCTTACATTTCAGAAAATGTGCGCAGCTTTGAAAATGTAGAAGTACAGTTGGGGAGGGATCAGGGGTCAGGGAGCGCGTGGCAGGTGACGGGGGCCAAATGTCAGCTTAGTCCTCGTTGGCAATGCGAAATGACAGGCAAATTAAAGCTGAGTGGACGGGTTGGCTATGGCAGCCGGCAGACAATTTATCAGAGATACATTTAACACGATAAAGGAAGAAAAATAGCCACGTTCAAGCGCGAAAAGAAGTGGAAAATAATGGAAAAATCCTCATTGACAGTCCCTGAAAATTATACGAAAACGAACAAGTTTTTAACTTGTCCAGGGGCTTAAAATATAATATCAGGCAGGAATATTTAAAATAAATTGTTAATCTAAGATTAAGGAACCAGTTTCGGTTGGAATCAATTTTTAAATAATAATAAAACTATTTTAATGTAATTTATTTAATAAAATATATTAAATCCTTTACAAAGAGTTAACAGATGTAGTGGAAAATAAGTTTTTCTTTGTTTCTACCCTTGAAGTCTTAAAACAATTAATACCCATTTAGTGTTCAACTAATAAGAAGAGTTTTGCTTTGTAAGGATATTCTCCCTTAGCGGACTTAAGAAATAAGGAGTGGAACAAAGTTACAAGGGGGAATTGTTCTTCGAAGCCTTTTTTCAAGCAGCCTGTTGCCAATTGTCAAGCAAAGAACTATTTACTTGACATTTGCAAGGGAATGCGTTGTGTCCCGGACCCCTCCTGACTGGCATTCTTTTCTTCTTTTCAGTCCTGGTCCTTTTGTTGTCCTGTTTGCCATTTTTCCAACTAAAAAAGAAAAAAATATAATACAAAAAAAATCCTAGCTGTTGCTAGAGTCCCTCTCAGAGGCATTAATGTCAACGGAACGGTGCTGCAACTTCTCACCTGTCCCACTGAATATTTCACTGCTCCTGTGGCAGTCAATTGGAAATCCCTAGTAAAAAAAATATATATACAGGAATTTATATATATTTATATAAATTGCAACATAAATTATACGCACACGGCTGAGGGAAATCGAGCTGGGAGAGCTTGTCCCATGTGCTTAAGCGGAAATCGTGTACAAAATGAAAATGAAGAGAAGGGGCAGGGGAATGGGAGGGGAATGGGAAAGTCACCGCCCCACAAAATACCGGATTTTTCCGGCGCCATTCGTTGCTGTTAACATTTCCGCTTTATTTGTCTGTCTGCCCTTTCGCCCGCCCGTTTTATCTAGCCTCGCTTTCCCAGCCCGACATTCCACCTACATTTGCCCGGATTTTTGTTGCTGCAGCTGCAGTTTTATTTGTGCAGTTTTTATCTCTTTTGTGTCTCCGCTGACGTTGTCTAATGTTTTAAATATAAACTCGAAAATAATGCAGAAAATAAAAGCATAAATCAACGCAAATATCGCTTTTGGATTTCTTTTCAATCCTGCATAAAAGCAGATCCAGATAAGAGGGGGGCTAGAGTAACTTTTCCTTTTTGCTTTTCCTGTCTTGCTTTGGTCACCATAAATTATTCGCGCACAAGTTTTATCTTTTAATGCGATACTGGGGGCTCTTCAGGTATTTTTGGTAAGGAATGGGAAAGCCACACAGCTTTTTGTACTATTGTTTCACAATATCTACTTCTTGTAGTTTATTTTCAACAGAAGAAGTTCATGCTGACGAAACTATACAGTATAATTTTGAAGTTCTTTGTTTAGATTAGATTGCAATTAATACTTAATTTTATTTTATTTAAACATATGTTACAAGACGTATTTAAATAAATCAAATTCAAAAATAATGGTTTTTCTTTAACATCTTTTAAAACGTTCATGTCTCTCTGGCGTTGTAGTCATATCTTGCCCATGGCATTAATATCATTTCTGACTGTCAGCCGACTTGCTAACAACTCCCAACTGCCCAAGGAAAGTGACAGCCAAATTTCCCGTTCAGCTCCTGGCGCCCTGATGAGCGATCAATCATACGTGGCATGCAAAGGACTCACACCTCTGCCGCTGGCTGCTCCTTGCAGCTTCTTGCAAATTGAAACGTGTGCGACGCATCCTTCCTACCTTCCAGCTACCTGGCCATTTGGCCGCACGAGGCAGTTAATTAAATGATGAAAGCATTGACGTGTCGCTGGGACTAAACGGCCACGAGGAGAACGGAGTCCATCTAGTTGGCCAAGAGCAGTCAGCCAGCAGACCAGAAGTGCTGACATGACGGGCTGAAGGTTGCCCGAGAGCCAGGTCCTTGCCGCCTGACAGACGCACGTTCGGCGAGTCCATAATGCAATGAGGGACCTGCGTGAGCTCTGGCCAACTCACTCAAGTTTGCAACGAACAGTGGAGCCGGGTTTTGGGACAGTGAGTGGTGCTATGGCGTTGTCATGGCCAAGGAAGGGCTTTGGGATGCAAAGTGTTGAAATTTCGGGCACAAGGATTCGTTTAATAAACACAACAAAACTTGCTAGTGTTTGGATTATGAAATATTATTAATTAGGAATATTATTTAAAGCCAGAGATAAAGCTTTGTTAAATGAAACTTCAACTTGATTTAAATAAATCTAGAAAATACCCATTCTAATAACAGACACCACTGTGGTTTGAGTTGAAGGATAGATCCTCGACGGGGTCACGTACTCTCTCCAGTTGCATGTCACACGCCGCTTGATTGGTTGCCTGATTCGTTGATTGCCATGCTCGTCGCTCACGTGACATTGCGTAGCCCCTGGGCATTGTCCAGGTCATCCCATCAGCAATCCATAGCCAGGATTCAGGAATCCACACTATACACACACTATACACACACCCTCACCCTCACCCGCACCTGCCAGTCGATCCAGTGGGTATGTGTGCTCGTTCTAATTTTCATTTCATTTCCATTCGCAAACGTAAACTAACCGAACTGAAGTTGGCCAAGTCAGTGGGCCATTTGCTGATTTGATTGATGGCCCACAACTGCTGCTGTTTGGCCAGCTAATGAACTTACATAAGTGAATCCGTTGGCAAGTTATGGCTTCTCATGCTGTAAATGTAAACAGATTTTCCACTAGTTACGGTTTGGTCCTCGAGGTGAAAGCACAAAAGTGCTGTTAATTAGTAAAGTTGATAAATTCCGCAGATTTAACATATCAAGTGGGCAGCAAAGTTACGCTTGCCTCTCTGACGTCGGTAGTTACAGACAAAGTTTTTCCAGTATGTTACATGCGAGTATTTTTTTCCGAGTTACCTTCATAAATTGGCTGGCCATGTCCTGGGAATTTCAACTCGCCAGCTAACATGCGGCTTTCTGTAAGCAGACAAGAAAGGTTCGAAAAGTTAGATTAGTACAGAATAAAAATTGTTTATTTTTACTTTTATTGGATAATAATAAAGTGAACTTAATTTCAATAAATATTAAGTCTATGTTTAATTTATTCACCTAAATAAATATATTTTCCAGCTTGTAACCTAAGATATATTACATCTCATGACATTTTCTTATTGTGTTCACTTTACCCTAATCGTATTACGTATTCATAAGGGCAGAAGACCGTAAATTAATTTTATTAAATTGAAGATTTTCCTTCTTCATTTGCAAACTTGTTACTTATTTATTCAGTATCTATTTTATGTAGTTATTTAGTTCTGGGAACTCGGCGGACTTGCTAATGAATTCAATTCAATTAACCAACTTTCATATTCAAGAATTTCCTGTCATTGCTGTGTGTTGTCAAGCACACTCCTGCGAAACTTCTGGGCACTAACTTGGCCCGGAACGAGCTAACATGTGTGTGCGAAAGCCAAGTCAACACTTGACAGCCGAAAGAACGATAATTTTCTTAACTAAATTGTCCGGGGCTAGGCAAACAATTTGGTCCGAGACAAAAGTTGAGCAAACAAATAAACTCATCGAAGACATCAGGCCAT